GTTTATCCTGATTCTGATTTTAGACCCATAAGAAAAATCTAGTTGTTGCAACTTTCTCATCTTAGATTAACCTTATTCTTTTTTGCCAACTATGACAGATCTCAAATTTTCAGTGGTCTTTCCTTCTATCTCTCCTATGGCCATCCAGACTTGATCAACTTTTAGACATAATATCTCTTGAAAAGCTGAAACAAAATCAATGTGTGTGTGAGGGGGAAGATATAAAGCTCTACATAACAAAAAACAAAATAATGTCCCTAACTCAGTTTAGCTTAGATTTTAAAGGTTTTTCTCTGTGGGATTCTTTGTTTGAATATTAAGCAAGCTGTTTACTTTGTAAGCATCAAGAAAGAAAGTCAGTCCATTAAGGAAAACCTCCTTCTAGGAATGAAACTCTAAGGGAACCTATGACCCGTATAGTATGCTCACTGGTGATCACCTGGTTCTATTTCTGAGTGGAAGATGGGGAAATGCAGCAATGAAGACAAGGGCTGAGATTGGCCAAGTTCCATTGGCACCTCTCCTTAAGATGTGAGGGAGAAGAAGAAAGACTGGCTGGTCTGAAGTTTAGGAAGATGTGTTGTCGGGGACCTGCCTCGACATAGGGGTTCGGTTCATGAGGAGAGGATACCTGACGGCGAGTCATACATATCAAGAATACACAGAAAGAGACAAAGAGAGAGACAATGAGGCACCCCAAAGCCAGGGTGGATACATCACTGGTGGGCAGGCCTGGGAGTACAGGCATCGTGGCCTCTGCAGGCAGCAACTCACTGCCCTGCCATCTTTACCGCATGCCTTCCAGCCAGTAATGCACTGCCATCTTTACTCTATACCTGCCAACCAGCAATACACTGCCATCTTTACTCCATGCCTGCCAACCAGTAATGCACACCTGGGGAGGCCCGGGCCTCTGTTTTATTTAGGGGAGGAGCTTCACACCAAGCTGGGAGGGACTTAGGCAAGGTACAGCTAACATCAGTACTTTTCCAGACATTCAGGTAACTTTACATCGTACTTCGCTGGTTCGCATCCCAGGCCCACAACTTGGTTTCTCAGGCCCAATTAACGTATCTATAGCCCCTGAGCATAGTTGAGGGAAGATGAGAGATAAAGACAAAAGCTTGGGTGGAGTCCTGCTGCTTTGGCTTCCTGAGCCAGGTCTACAGGAGGACTCTAGATGAGATGCCCAGGTGAATGGGCTGCACCTGGAAAAGGATTAGGGAGGATGGGTTCTTTGTCTATGAAACAAAGAGCTGTGAAGTAGCTAAGATATTTTTAGTTAATCCTTTGGAGAAAGGCTTAACCTTGCAACCTTTAGTCTCGGCTTTAGGAAAATATCACATTTATCTGTGGATTGTCAAAGGCTCCAGTGTATTAATATATATACCTGAATATTAATATGAAAGCAATTTGCCATTAACTGCCAGTGGCCTCATTTGTTACACTCGGCCCTAGAGGGCCTCGAACCTCTGACTAGTCTTACACGGTCTGCAACAATGTGTGAATTTCTGAATACATGAACACTGACCTAGCCCCTGGGGGTAAGGCTGAGACTGAAGCAACCAGCTAGTCTTAAGTTCAGGGAGGTATGGATGAACTCCCAAACTTGTAGCCAGGACCCATTTGACTTAGCTTGGATGGATAGTTGACCAGAACTTGAAATGATGACAATAAAATTATTTGATACTGACAGCAAGTGTAAATTGCTACAATTTGATAAACGAAACTTTTGCCTATGAATGCAATGACTCAAAATTTCAATTGGAATGGAAAGATTCTTCATGTCAAGAAACCACCTTGTATCCTCAGTGTAATGGGTTGATAGGGATGAGAAATTTAGACACTGGCTATCAAAAATGGGGGAGGGTGTACAGGCAAAGAAGGCATGAAGTGGCTGGCTCATAAGCTTTCCTGAATCTTTAATTGCAGAATGAGATGGGGTGAGGGAAAACCTCCAGTGAATAGTCTTCCTCTTCCCCAGATGGATCTGTTGAAAGGGGATAGGGAACAACGGTGATAGGTTTTGATTCAGCTGTGAATAACTGTAAGCAGGATTAATTGCAATTGTAACAATTGTAATTGTTGAAGATGTGTAACTAATTGGAGAGAATAGGTAATCTTTCATTTCAGGAACAGAGGATTCCAGGACCATCAAGAAGGAAAAGCATGAATGTAGCATGAGATTCCTACCTAGAAAAGCAGGAAGAGCAGAGATGGTGGCAGCGTGTCTTCAGGCAGGAGACTGGCTGACAGAATATGCTCTTTGGACATTTAATTGAATATATATTTGATTTATAAGTGTACATCAAATATTTTTGCCTTGTTCACGTGTGAAATAAAATATGTAAATGGGGAACCACAGGGAGGAAGTAGGATAAATGTTATTGCAGGAAGGGAATTGAAATCATTACAGTTTACTGATAATCTTATCTGTAAACCTTCATCCAAGTCAGAATAAAAAACTAAAAAAAAAAAAAATAATGAGATTAGGGAGAAAGATTTCAGTCAGTGAAATGTATTTATACCATTTCCTCCATTTTATGGACAAAGAAGCTGAAGCACAAGTAGATTAAATTAAATGTCTGATGTTTCATAGGGAATTGGGTGACAGAACCCGAAATCTTATCCAAGTAGTATGACTCTAGACTAATATTAAAACTATTCTAGACTACCTAACTATAAACTTTATTTTCCTCACCCTTGTGGTCTGCACATATCCTCACAATGGTATTTTTGGCAATGTCATGGGTAATTATGGCAAACCATAATTCTCATTGCCTTTATGAGCTTAATTTGTTTAAAGCCTGAATTATATGTTTTATTGTTGTTATTGTTAAGTGCCATAATATAATAAAATTTTAGTTGAAGAAACTTGCTTTTTGTGCACTTTAACAGTTTAATCACATGGTGTGAGGAACCATGATATTCCATTTAATCAATGACTTTAAACAATTGTGCTGCCATGGATAAAACAAGTGATCCTTCCTTTCAAGGTAGTTGCTGCAAAGTGCAGTTGAGTAGATTCTAACTCACAGCGATCATGCATAGAGTTTCAAAGAGGCGGTTGATGAGCTTAAACTGCCAACTGTGATTAGCAATCCACAGGTAACTCCTGAATATGCCTCCCAAACAGAAGCAGATGACCATATCAACACATGTCCTGAAATAAGATAAAGGGACTCAGGCAAATGAGCTGGAAGTAGACCTACACACCATACTGGAAAATGGGCAGGCTTTGGAAATGACTGAGAAGGAATTCAGAAAAATGATCATAAAAAGTATCAAAACACTATGCTCCCTTAAACAAACAATAAATAAGGAGGATTCGGATGCAGATCGTGCAGACCCGGTCAGGAGGCCAAGCCCGTGGGCCCAAGCGTTGTTGACCGTCCAAACCATAGGCTCTGAGGATCAGACTTTAGCTACCTAGTAGACATAGCAAACTGTCCCTCATCTGATTATTCAGTAATGCTTGTTAGTAATCTCATACATGAGCCCTGGATATCCACAGACAAATGTAAAAACCTTCCCTAAAAGCCGAGACTGTAAATTCCAAAAAGGCAAGTCCCCCCACCCATCAAAAAAAAAAAGCTAAAGAGGATAGAAGAAACACTGTTAACTGATGATATATGGAGGAGATAATAATCAATGTAATGAAACAAGCTATATGAATGGTTGAATGTGAAGCTGATGATGTGTCCAGTAAACTTTCACTCAATCCAAAATAAAAACATTTAATTAAAAAAAAACCACTATGCAACTGAGTTGAGAAAAATAAGGAAGAAGTCAGGAAAGCACTACAGGAACAATCAAATAAGATAAATACAGCATTAGAAACATTTCAAAACCTACAGAAAGAGGTCCAAATGATTAATAATAGAATATCAGAAATGGACAATACTCTAAAAGGGCAGAGGAGTAGAAGTTTTGTAACAAAAACATGGGAGTGGTTAATCTTACAATCCAGAAACAGAAGACCCTAGGACCATCCAGAGAAGCAGGGACGCCAGAGATGGAGGCAGAGATGGGGACATGGAGAGGGGGAGTGGCTGAGGACTCTAGATTCATGAGAATAGAGGGACTGAGAGCTGGTGGCCAGGAGGTAGACTTGCAGAATGTGCCTTTTGGAGGTGTAAATTATTATATATGCCTGAATGTTTTTGTTTTTTTAAAAAAGCTAAAGTGAATAGACAGAAATACTGTTAACTGATGATACATGGAGGGGATTATATTCATTGTAAGGAAACAAGGTATATGATTTGTTGAATGTAAAACTGATGACCTGCCCTGTAAACTTTCACTCAATCTACAATAAAAACCTTAAAAAGAAATATTTAAGTGACATATGTGAATCCAACTGGAAGACTCAGTGGTAAAATTTCTCTTATGGCCAGATATAACATGGTTATTGTTGTTGTTATGTGCCGTGGAGTCGGTTCTGACTCATAAGGACACTGTACAGGGTTTCCGAGGCTATAAATCTTTATGTGAGCAGAAAGCGTCATCTTTCTCCCGCAGAACAGCTGGTAGTTTCGAACTGCTGACCATGAGTTTAGCCGCCCGATTCATAACTACTATGCTACCAGAGCTCCTTAGATATAACATACAGTACAAATAATCTGAACGCTCTGATTTTCTATAAGTTAATGAACACTGCCCTATTTTCTTGATATATTTACAATGTAAAAATAAGCTGGGGATGGATTTCACACAGATTTTATTTTTAACTATAGCATCTGATAGAATTACAAATGATGATATCAACATTCATTTCTTCATAGCCCACATTCACTTGTAAAAAATACATTTAAATAAGTTCTTACAAAAACATAGGTCAGTGTCGATGGGAAGGTCAACTGTCACCAAGACAGGTTTTGATTTAAAAGGAATAAATCATCATAGTAATCTCTGAAAGTCTCTGTAATCTTCAGAAAATTGCTTCTATAAAAGTCTCAAGTCTATTAGTAAATCAAGCCGTTTTATGATTTTTATGACGGTGGTGGTTATTTTGAAACACTAAAACATACTCTACAGTTTAGGGATTGGTGTGGCTGCCATTGCTATGCTTTCAATTCCACACTCATCTGTTCCTCTCTGGATTCTGAAGTAACCAGCCTCACCCCAAGTGGTGCCCCAGCTGTTTTTAACAATCCAGTAGTCCATCCCAGAGACCGAGTCAGTGCCATAACCAACAAGCAGAACTGCATGATTGGTCAGCTCAAAAGGGTTGAAAGGGTCTCTCAGACCAGTGTGGTGATAGATCCCTTTGTGATAGAGGAAGAAGTCATCATAGACTTCAAAAGCAACTGCGATGGGCCCATGACTGACCAGCTCAAGCTTCATCAGAGCTTCATTACAGCCCCCATAGAAACCTCCCACATAGTGGTAATCCGAGGAGTAGTAACGTAAGCAGTCCTCCTTCAGTTTGCATGGAACATCAGTAGCTTTGTAAGGGAAGCAGGACTCTTCCACCAGTCCAAAATCTTGGGCATACTTTCCTGCGATAAGATATGGGAAGCCACCTTCACAGCCTGAGGATAAAAAACATGCACAGTTATTACTTCTCTGTTAAAAGGGGTATAGGAGAAATTGTCTATTTCCTATACTTTCTTCTGTTCCAGTTAATTTTTAAGTTAACTATGAAAGTTGATTTAGCTTCCATTCAGCCATCTAGCTAACCATCCTACCATCCTCATCCATTTAACAGATAGTTATCCAGCACCTAATATGGGAGAAAGCTACAGACTAGTAGTTAAGCAGGCAGGCTCTGAAGCCCAAGCACACAGGTGCAAATTCAAAGCTGTGTGAACTTCACTTCCATTTACTTATCTGGAAAACATACAGTAATTGTTTGTTTTCTGTTGTAGGATTTCATTAGTTGCTCAAGGCTGAAAATACACATTCAATAATGTCAGCTAGTGTCATGGCTATAGAGCCAGATACCATGTCTCGGCTATTTCTCAAAACAGCTCTCCCTGATAACCTATCGTAAAAAAAATTTAAATCAAGCCCTCATCCCCTTCCTCCAGTTCTGGATTTATTACACAGATTCATACCCTTTAAAGAGCTCTGGTAGCATTCTCTGGTAGCGTAGTGGTTACAAATCAGGCTGCAAACTTAAGGTCAGCAGTTCGAAACTACCAGCTGTTCCACGAGAGAAAGATGAGGCTTTCTGCTTCCGTAAAGATTTACAGCCTCGGAAACCCTGTGCTGGGTTGCTATGAGTCAGAACTGACTCCACGACACAGAACAACAAGGAGCTCTGGTAACATAGTGGTTATAAATCGGGCTGTGAACTTTAAGGTTGGCAGCTCGAAACTACCAGCTGTTCCGTGGGAGAAAGATGAGGCTTTCTGCTCCCATAAAGATTTATAGCCTCGGAAACCCTGTAAAGTGTCGCTATGGGTTGGAATCGACTAGACAGCACTTAACAACAACATACCCTTTAATTTGTCTTCTCATTAGTATAATTTTACTAGTTTTATATAATATCTATTTAATGTTGTTTTCCCTCACTAGAAAGCTTCATGAGGGTGATAGTGGTTGTGTGCCATCGAGTCAGTTCCAACTCATAATGACCTTGTACTGGGTTTCTGAGGCTGTAAATCTTTACAGGAGCAGAAAGTCCCATCTTTCTCCTACGGAGTAACTAGAAGATTTGAACTGCTGACCTTGCAGTTGGCAGCGCAGCTCATAATCCACTATGTTACTGGGGTTCCTTTTCACAGGGTTAGGTACTATCATAGACAACAGTCTCCAGAATCTAGCAACCATATTATTAATTTTGAATAAATATTTCAAAAAGAATGAAAGGCTCACTAACAAAACCACTCACCACACCTAGAAAGGCAGTTTCAATGAGGAGCTAGAAAACTTTGCCAAGGCCGTATCGGGTCCATTGCAGAAAACATTAAAATGGGAACATTTCTTTCTGAACCAATTCTAGTGAGCCTTTCTATATTGTTATTGTTAAAGAGCCACTGAATCAATTCAGAACCTGAACAGGTTTCTGAGGAGAGACTGGTGGGTTTGAACCACAGACCTTGCAGCTAGCAGTCCAGTGCTTATCCTACAGCACTACATGAAGATTTTATTACTATACACATTATTTATCCCTGTTCTGAAAACCTATGAATCTCATTTAAACATTCTCCTAGAAATAAACCAGTGTTATAGTTTTAATAGAAGTGTGACTATGGAGTAAGGAATCAGAACCAAAATTCCAATGGCTATCTGTATAACCTTCAAAACGTTATAGAACTTCAAAATTCCAATCTGTATAACCTTCAAAACGTTATAGAACTTCTTTAGGCTCATTCTCTGTCTACACAGAGTAATGTCACTGTCTACTTCACAGGGTTTTGAGCATTGTTGGTGGTAGTTGTGGATGTGTGCTGTAGAGTTAGTTTTGACTCAGAACGACCTTGTATTGGGTTACTGAGGCTGTAAATCTTTATGTAAACAGACACCCTTACCTTTCTCCCACGGAGTTGTGGGTGGATTTGAACTGCTGACTTTGAGGTTAGCAACCCAATGTGTAAGGAACTCTGCCACCAGGTCTCTTTTGAGTATTGTTAGGTAATGAATATAAGAAGCTTCAATATATCAAACAGGCACTGATCAGGGCCTAATTTACATTTTTCTGCAGTGGCTGGTCAGGAAAGACTATTTTATTTGAAAAGAGTCTAGGCATGGTGCCTGGCTACTTAGCTGTGATGGTACAGCGAATTCCATGGGAATCATCTACAAATAAGTGAATGTCTAGAACTTGCAGCCAGATTTTCTGATTCTAGACACTGTGTTCTTTCCACTACAAAGTACACATGAGTAAAGGCAATGGAACAGTGTTGCAATACAGCACTTACCCTGAGAATACTGGCTGCAAGACACGACCTCCTGAGGACTGAAGATGGGGGTCTGAGAATTGTTGGTTTGTATACGGATCCTTGATTCTAGCATACCCAGAGAAGCAAATGTGTAGCAGCTCCCACAAGATGCTGGTGATAAAAAAGAAAAATGTATATATAACTAAAGATACCTTAGAGGCTTGCACAAGGAATCATAGAGAAACCTGAGTGGATGACTTACATTAATATATTTCTACTGATTCACTCAACAAACATACTGTACTTATAGGCCAACTTACAGGGGCTTTCCATGGAAGTATAATAGGAATTATAACCAAAACATCTATTAATTTAATTATTTAACAGTTTTGTTGATAATGAAGAAATGATTTATATGTACAATAGTCTGTGGCATCAGGTTGAGAGATACCTATGGAGACATACATTTGAGTTGATCTTTTAAATATTCCTAAGGCAGTATTTTCCAAAGTGTGTTAGGTAAAATTAACCCAAGAATATCTCAAGTCTGGATAAGTTGTATGAAGAGTTGTATTTTACCAAGGATTTCTGAGTTGTGCCTGGTGAGTTTGAACTGCTGGCCTTGTGCTTCAAACTGACCTTGTGGATCAGTGCACATCCTGCAGCGCCACACCAGGAGGCAGATGACGCATAGTGAAACGAAAGAAACTAGAAGACTTCTAATGCCCACTGTATAGAGCCTGGTAGTACAGTGCCTAAGCTCTTGGCTACTAACTGGCAGATCCATTGCTTGAACTCACAAACTACTCTAGCTGTTCTGTAGGAGAAATCTTCCATGAAGATTACAGCTTTGGAAACCCTATGAAGTAGTTCTGCTCTGTCCTATAGACTTGCTAAGAACTGAAAATGACGTGGTAGCACAGAGTTTGCTTTGTGGATAATGACTGGTGGACAGCTATGGTCCTCTTAGAATCCCTCCCAAGAAGAGAGGAATATGAGAAGTAGTTAGATGGTGGTAAGAGACCAACGAGAAGAAAACAGCTTTCTTTAACACCTGGATGCTACATCAAAGATAAAAGATATTTACTTAAGAAACATTGCTAGGGATGCAGTTGCTATCACAAGAAAAGGATACAATACTAGAAGGTAAATTATATTGAAAAGATTTATTTTTCTGTATGTTCCTTTAAAATATGTATAGATAAAAGGAAGAAATATACATAAGGAAATATGATATGTATGTGATGTTAGAACTTTTACTTTTTCTAACTTAGAAAGATTTTAAATAAAAGACTTTAAAATTTGTTATGATATAGCCTTCTTGATTTCTGATATAAATTCTACATGAAGAGACGCTTGAACGAAGTCTAAGATGTTGGTATTCAATCTAGTTTTACACACCTAATACATTTTTCATGTCATCAATATGTTAGTTACCAAAGTGTTTAAGTGGCAAGCACTGACTCGACTGCACCTAACAACACCAAAATTCTCTTACGTAAATAAAATAAAATTTATGAACAGCTATATAACTAAAGCAAAACAAAAAAACCCACATTCTACATAAAGAAAAATCTGTCTTTGTTCTCTTTGTTGTTGTTATGTGCCGTGGAGTCGGTTCCAACTCATAGTGACCCTGTACAGGGTTTCCGAGGCTGTAAATCTTTACAGGAGCAGAAATAACTTCCTCCATTCGAGAGAAAAGCATTCCAAGAAAGCATTATGCATGAAAAATATTGCCAGAGGACACAGTTTTCTCTTTCTCCAAGCAACTTTTGATTCATGTTCCTCCCTGAACACAAAGAAAATCAGGACACTCTATGCTCTGCCTGCAACCTATTTGATTTACTTAAGATTGTTTTCCATAAACTAAATTGTGAATGTCTTTGAGTGTTCACAGGGAATGTGTTTTCTTTATCTTGGTACCTGACATAGTGAAGAATAAACCAAGGAATAAGCAAGTGGGTAAATATTTACTTCCAGGAAATATAGTGAATTTAATTGAGTCACTCAACTTTAACTTGTTCCTAACCTACAGTCATGCAGAAGTCCTAAGTCCCTGGTGTGGTGCTGTAGGATAGGCACAGGACCGCAAGGTTCGTTTGAACCACAAAATTGATATGCGTTGGAACCTACTTGACAGCACTTAACAACAACCACCTCTAGGAAGACAAAAGCCCTAAGTCCCAACATGAACCTCTCCTAAGGTGTTCAATAATATACCACAAGGTCTACTAGACTGTAATTCTCCTCATAAGAATCTCAAGTTTATCTGTATCATGTAATGCTTTTGCTTCTCAATCACTTGAAAAGGACCTTGAATTAAGCTAATGCCCAACCTACTGACTTAACAATAAGTGTGCTGACTTTCAGTTTCATACCTCTAACACGTAGCAGGTCCTGGTGTGATGCTATGGGCTAATGACCTGGACTACAACGTCCATTTGAACCACAAGGTCGGTGGTTCAGGTTCACCACCCACTCCTAGGAATCCCTATACAGGGTCGCTATGGGTCAGAACTGACACAGTGGCATTTAGCAACAGCAACAGGCAGCAGGGCTACTGCCTAAGCATCTCCTAATAAAGGCCTAGGGTTCTTTTCAGTGTATACGTCTGAGCCTAGCAGAATGAACCTTCAGAATTTCTTTTAACTTATAGTTTTTAATTTTAGAAACCATCTAAACAAAACTACCCTTAAGATCTCTCTTTCAAATGATGAAATGTTAAGGAACCCGTTGAAAGTCAGTAAGCAAAGCCAGTGTAACTTTCATAGGACACCAAGGCCATATAATAAAACGCACATCTTAAGAGAGCTGCAAACCTACCCCACTTGGAACACTTCTTTTGGCCCACAGAAGCCAAGTAAGTAATCTCTCTGGTTAACCATTAAATCCCCATTATCTAACCATCTAGCACTTGGAAAGGACAAGTCTCAGAACATTCGAGGGCTCAGAAACTACTCTATTAACAAAGAAATCATAGGAAAGAGAAAAGAAGATAATCTTCCTCAAGCTGCTGACTTTCCCAGAAGAATTTGTTTGCTGTCAAGGTAATTAATGCCTCTTTTCAAAAGACAGGGTCAGAGTCTAGATTCTCAAAGAACCATTATCCCTTAAGAAGATTACAATGCAATAAAGAAAAATAAGTGGATATGGTCCAACTGGAATTCTGCAGCAATCTGATTTCCACAATCTCAAACAGACAATTTGATTTTTATATAGCTTAACTATTATGAGCTTTACTTTCTAACAGTAGCCAGCAGGCTGGGGAGGGCTGGTGGTGGTGGGAAGGAAGCTGAGCCAGGGGAAATCACTTGATTATTTGGACATTTCTTTTTTCCTTGTATCTCTGGTAGCATAGTGGTTACGAATCGGGATGTGAACCTTAAGCTCAGCAGTTCGAAACTACCAGCTGTTCCGTGGGAGAAAGATGAGGCTTTCTGCTCCGGTAAAGATTTACAGCCTCGGAAACCCTGTTCAGGGTCGCTATGGATCGGAACCAACTCGATGGCACTTAACAACAACAACAACGTAAAAGTTTTAAGGTCCCTGCCTTCCAGTTCTCATAATATAAATAATACCAAGACTTAAATGGTACGGATTTTAAACATTAGGAAAACACTCTGCATGTCATAATTAATGTGATCTATAGGGGACACTTCCCTTCTCTTTTAAAGCTATAGTCATAAATAAGGCAGCTCAGCTTCGAGGAGAAAAAAGAGAGTCCATTTCATCCAATTTCCTTCTCACACTTCATGTAGTTTCACTTAATGTAGCCGCTGGTAGTTTCGAACTGCTGACCGTGAGATTAGCAGCCCAATTCATAACCACTACACTACCAGAGTGGGAGCATCGAAAAAAGCAGAAAAGTTTGGATGTACTAACTGCTCACAAGATATGGTTAACTAGTGATATAATAAATCAAGAAAAGGACATTAGAACTATTAATGATAAATGTTTTGATGTTGGTTTTCTGGTAGCCTGAGTAAAAACTATTACTGTTTCCAATTTTCTGAATTTAGCTATAAGCCTAGTGCATAAAGCTGCTTTCAAGTATACAGGTAAAACCTCATTTGCCACCTCAATATTTCTGCTTTCTTAAATCTTGGTTTGTTCTCTAAAAAGAGAAATGTGAATTCCTGAAATTAAAACTAATTTTTACTTCTGAAGTATATGCTGTTGTTACTGTTGTTAAGTGCCACTGAGTCAGTACTAACTGAAAGCCACCCTGTATAGGGTTTCCAAAGAACAGCTAGTGGGTTTGAATGGCCAACCTGGTAGTTAATATCCCAGTGCGAATCCTATAGCAAACCACCAGGACACAATTAGCAGAAATTTACAAGTAGCCAAGTTAGCAGGAAGAGAAAATGATGAGTCGGCCCGAACCTAAAGTACAGAAAACCAAAAGGAAGTGAAAAGAGGAACATTAACTGCATTTTGTTTTCAAGTATCTGACAAAGAACAAAAAAATACAGGGTCAATGTAAAGGCAATTGGATTCCTAGTGTGTTGAACTGTAAGATAAACACTAAACCTCAAGGTCTCTTTGAACCACAAGGTTGGCAGCTCAAAATCACCAGTCACTCCTTGGAAACCCTACACAGGGTCTCTATGGGTGGGAACTGACTCAATGGCACTTAACACCACCAAACATAAAGATATGCAAGCAAAAAATTAAATTACACCATGATAACTGATTTAGTAAAATATTTTTAGAACTGGGTTTTTGTTGTTATATGCCGTGGAGTCGGTTCCAACTCGTAGCGACCCTATACAGGGTTTCTGAGGTTGTAAATCTTTGTGGGAGCAGAAAGCCTTCGTTTTTTTCCCGTGGAGCCACTGGTAGTTTCAAACTGCTGACCGTGAGATTAGCAGCCCGATTCATAACCACTATGCTACTAGAGTGGGAGCATCGAAAAAAGCAGAAAAGTTTGGATGTACTAATTGCTTGCAAGATATGGCTGACTAGTGATAAGATAATAATTCAAGAAAAGGACATTAGAACTATTAATGATAAATGCTTTGATGTTGATTTTCTGGTAGCCTGAGTAAAAGCTATTATTGTTTCTAATTTTCTATTTTCTTGAATTGTTGTTGTTGTTGATGAGTGCCCTCGATTCGGTTCTGGCTCATAGTGACCCTGTACAGGGTTTCTGAGGAGTGGATGGTGAGCTTGAACCACTAACCTTCCGGTTCAAAAGTACTTTGCAGTACAGCACATTAACCCACAGTGCCACACCAGGTCTCCTTGCATATCTTACTAAACTATAAATCTCTAGGACATGGTCTTTATATTTTCTATAATTGAAAAAAAAACCCCACAATTCCAACACATTAGGTATTCTATGTACAACAACACAAACAACAATGTAATATTATAGCTCCCATTACTGAGAGCTAACCATTTGTCAGGCTCTGTGTTCAACACTTGACAAACAATATTTACTTAATTCTCACAAATAAGCTAAAATGTTTGTTTGATGATTGAGTAAATTTTAATCCTGTCTTCATGAAAGAGAAGGAAGAGAAAGATCTCAAGATTCACTCTTCTCCAAATCTGAAGTTTCTCAAATTGCTGGTGCCAAGTAAAGACTAGTTGCTAAGACCCTTGGTGTCAGAAGAAAGAAAGGAGCCTTGGTAATGTCTTGCTTTGTCAAAGTACTGTACATTCAGAATGCTCACAGGAATTCAGTTTTGACAAGTGGGAGAGGCTGTCATAGAGTTTTTAGGAAAAGAGGGGAACAAATTTATCTTTGGTGTTATTAATGTACTGTTCTCTCAGGAGACACCAATCAGAATGTTTCCAGATAGCAATTACTACACCTATTTTATAATAACAAATCAGTCTACTATAACTATCTTCAAAATGAGCTTAGACTTTATAAACCTGAACATTGCATAAATGATTTTCCAAGTCATTGCTGACTAAAACTTACGATAGCAGCAAAACTTGCTATAAAGAGCAATCGTTGTTGTTGTTGTGAAGTGCCTTGGAGTCTGTTCCAACTCATAGCAACTCTTTTTAGGGTTTCCGAGACTTTAAATCTTTGCAAGGGCAGAAGGCTCATCTTTCTCCCATGGAGAAACTGGCAGGCTCGAACCAAGGACCTTGTGATTTACAATCTAGTGTTGATCATATGAAGCCACTGTGCTCTAAAGCAATTAGTGGAAGTGTTATTATATCAACTCGTACTTTACCTAATTTCTGAAAATAACTAGCAAAAATGCTGTTATAATGGAACTTTTTGAAAATCTGGGGTCTGCCCCTTGGACTCTAATCAGAAAGCTAGATTTAGCACTAAATATGAGGGGACTTCAACAATTTCATGGAAAAAGTGGTATTACCTTTCATTCACTCTTCCATGAACTTTCTGAAAGCCCTTTGTATTGTATCCTGGTATAAACTAAATTGGAAAGTTTTCAATTGGAAGGTTAAACATCTATATTATCAGAAAAACAATTAAGGACCTATTTTCTGAGATTATATAATAATTAAAGACTAAATGATGGAGATGGACCACAGAGTAGGAAGCAAAGAAGTATTCCGGAAGCCATGTGTAGAAGAAAGTTCAATTGTACAATCTAAGTCAAGGAAGTTCTTTTCTAGCTAAAATGTCCTAGGATCACATTTAATATAGTGTAAAGCACTTACATTTATTGTACCATGAATCACTGGATACCATTCTTTGTTTCTACATGATTACTCCTACTAGAAGAGTAAATGAGTTTGTCTTTCATGTCCATTCAACTCACTGGATCATCTATTAAGAAGGATTCTTAGGAAATCATGAAGTCAGTTATAAAGATGATCTATTACCAAAATCTGCCATGGATAAAATGGATTCTCATGGCCATTTCATTTCTTTATCACCAGAATCCATCAAAGAGCCTGACACATAATAAATGTTTAATAAATATTTCAGAATGAATTAATAAAAAAAGCAAAAGAGCAATTTTTTTTTTTATACCTTGGTTTCGAACAGGGCTAAGAAAATTGATACCATGAACATTTCTCCAGTCCCAAGATTTTGGCAAATGCAAAAGCTTTTGTCGTATTTCAGTGGTCAGTGGTGCTGGTTTGGGTCTAGGATAGAAATATGAATTTGAAATTAATGCACAATCTTTCTTTTGAGGATTATTTCTTAATCTCTAATTCCATGATGATTTCAACCATTTGGTCATGATCTCCAGTCAGACTCAAAAGATCACTTTTCTCATGAATGCTTCCATGTGTCTGAAGCTAGGTTGTATGAATGGTTTTCGCTATCTATTTTCTATTCAACCAGTATTCTTTTTCCCTTTTGTAATGGCACTGGCATTATACATATTTATTCAATATGTGAACTGCCAACCTTGCAGTTAAAACTGGCCTTGCAGTCCCGCGCATTAACCCACAGCGCCACATCAACACTCCAGTCTACATATTGTTGTTGTTGTTATGTGTGGTGGAGTCGGTTCCGACCCATAGTGACCCTGTACAGGGTTTCAGAGGCTGTAAATCTTTACAGGAGGAGAAAGCCTCATCTTTCTCCCTCGGAACAGCTGGTAGTTTCGAACTGCTGACCTTGAGGTTTGCAGCCCGATTCATAACTGCTACTTTATCAGAGCTCCTAGACTAAACATTAGTGGCTCTTAATCCTGGCGTGGCGCTGTGGGTTAATGCGTCAGACTGCAAAGTCGTTTGAACTGCAAGGTCGGTGGTTCAAGCTCACCAGCTGTTCCTTGGAAACCCTATACAGGGTTGCTATGGGTTGGAATAGACTCGATGGCACTTAACAACAACAACAATCCTCTGGACTAAGATTTTTTAAGAATTTCATAAAAGCTCTTGATTCAGAGATAAATTTAGAAAATATTAAATTTTGTCTATAATTTCAGAATTTCACAAACCCCATAAACCTTAAGTAAGAATCTCTGAGACTGTCTATTATGCCACCAAATATTTACACTAGAACCAATTTATATACAAATGCTAGTGAGAACCAAGAAGTCAGACTATAATATCTACTCTAATGTTCCCATTTTATTCAATCCTATTTTTGTATCTTAAACCTTCTAGCCTTAAAAAGCAACTCTGGATATATATATACATATATATATATACACACACATAAAGGTTAAGTAAAGAAAATCCCAAGCACAGGAAAAGTTCCTCAGAAACATGGCACACGACATATGACAAAGCAGTGTGTTTGAGGCTCAGATTTTGGAGCAGAGGCCTTGAGTCTCCCTAGACCCAAATGCTAACAAGATGAGGCACTCACACTTATAGGTCTGTAATCTTGTTGCTGACTGGGTCTCATCGTCCTGTGTCACTCAGCCACACAACTGCTTTTCCTCCTTATTTTAGTGCTTTTGAGATGGGGTTACTTATGCTCATTCTCCTAAATTCTTTTGATGACAACATCTCATGGTACTAGAAATCCCTCAAAATACATTTTGAAAAATACTATTGGGTCAGCTGTCTGTATCAGTGGGTCCACATCCATGGATTCAACCTACCACAGATCAAAAAAAAAAAAAAAAA